ACAGATAGAGGACCGCGACACCGCCAAGGAGCCGCCCCAAAAGGTCATAATGATTAACACAATCCTAGCCGACTCCGAGGAATCTGAGTTGACCAGCAAGAAAAAAAAAAGGAAGATCAAACAAGCCACTATGATCTTCCAAGTCTCAACCGACCTTCCGCTAGCAGAAGACGATCTTGTAATCGGCTTCCAAAAGAAAGATCTAATTGGCCTTGATCTACCACACAATGACGCTCTTGTCATCAGCATTCAAATCGCTCAGGCCATGGTCGACCGAATCCATGCAGACGAGGGCAGTGCAGCCAACATCCTACAATTGACAGTTATCCAACAGATGGGCTTAGAGGCAAATATCAATAAATCAGCCGTAAATGGATCAACAACGGTTACCGTAGGCACGATAGAGCTCGACGTCTACGCCCCACCTGTAGTCAGCTCGCAAACGTTCATGGTCATTAATGAAGTCTCACCCTACAATGGCATTCTAGGCAGACCATTGATCAGCAAGATCAACGCCATCACCTCCGCCACGCATCAGAAGATTCGCTACCCCATTCCTTGGGGTGGGATCGGCCAAATCAACAGCGATCAGGCAATGGCGAGGAAATGCTCAGCTCAAGGGCTTTAGAAAGGCAAGCAAACACAGTTCCTCCCTGTGAATCAAGCAGATCTAAAGGGAGTAGAACAAGCAGATCCCGTTTCTGACGTCGTTTCTGACGGCCGAGCAGGCCAAAAAGGAAAGGGAATGACTACTCCCCAATAGCAATCAAAGAATCAGGACCAAGTCGAGGGAATCCGTCCGGAGGTCTATCCTGAAGAAGGATGGAAGCCCGGGGAGGGCGTTGCGCTAGTACCCCTTGATCCTGACAAGCCAAAGAGAACAGCGCGGATCGGCTCGCGCCTAAGCCAGGAGGAAAAGGCAGAGCTTGTAGCCTTCCTCCAGAACAACAAAGACGTATTTGCATGGTCACCATCTGACATGCCTGGCATCGATCCCCAGATCATCTGCCATCGCCTACACGTCAACCCAGCCATCAAGCCTGTATCACAGAAGATACACAACTTCACCCACGAGCGGGCC